TGGAAGGAACAATGTTCAGAACTAATGATCTACATAGCAGACCAGAGATCTATGTAGACCAGATCACGAAACGGCCGAGCAAGCGATGGAAATCCTCGAGCAATACGAAGTTGGAGATATCAAAAACAACGTGGGTCCCCCGCTTTCGAAATTCTTGCATTCTCTCCCTTGCTTCCTCCGACACCACAAGGCTCGGTCGCTGGTCGAATTTCCATGGTTTGCAGGCAGAGAGGTGGAAGTATTTGAGCGAGCAGTAGGCTTGCTCCGTCTGGAGGCGTGAGGAAACCACATCCAGCACTCTGTTTATGTGCTCGTTTGGATCAACGTCCGAAAACCTAAGACGAACTGACTGCAACTTCGGTAAGGTGAGATTACAACGAGTCGCCGAATCCGATGATACGCCCAACCAATTTAATTTCGAGAGTAGAGAAGTGAAAGTGTTGGTGACTATATGAGAGGGAACATCCCGGTTGGGAACTCTAGCCAGGGTCAACGCAAAGTCGGTGAGTTGGAAAAAGGACGGGAGTAGGTCCAAGATACAGCCTGGTGAGTCGGTGCCAGATTCAAATACACAAAATTTGATCGTGAGGGCTTCAAGAGTAATGGCACACCGCTGAAGCATGGTTGATAGGGCTGGAGGCCAGCCAGAACATGTAGCCCTGAACTTCGTGAGGGAAGGAAGGATCAGCTTCGGACAGCAAATTTCCAAAGCTGAAACTTCGGGAACAATACGTAGCGAAGTCCCGAATGTCAGTTCACGAAGGGAGGGTAGTTCAATTGCGTCTGCTACAGTGGGCGGACAGTAAGGGAAATCGAGCGAGAGCGAGACGAGCGCCCTGCAACTGGGGAGAATCCGGAGAAAAGATTCAACGGAATGAGGTACACGGTGGAAGACCGTCAATGATATCAATTGGCGGTATGGTGCAACGATGGGAGGCAATGACCTCGCAAGATCAAGGACTCTGAGCTGAGGTGCACCGTTGATAGCTTTCCAGAACCAATCAGCCTGAGGCCCGCGTGTCCCTGGTGGATCCTCTACCCTGTGATGCTCTGGAACCGAATATTGGAATGACATCAAAAATGGGAAGGCTAGATTTGGAACGGCTGGAAATATGTCCATGTGTGCCACCTGTAGCACGAGCTTCTCGCATCTTGCGAGATGTGGAGCCAGGAGATTCCATGCCTCCAGCATCGGTGGTAGGAGAGCGTTAGAGTATCCCCCACCGTCATGTGAGAGTTTGACTGACAGAGGACAAGTTCCAGAATACTCGAGGTACATCCGAAGGAGGGGTGCGATGGTGTAACGAATACCGAGCTGGATGGCGATGGAAGACCAGAGACACGGAGACCCAATTATCATACTTCTCCAGCGGGAACAAACTCTGGCAATGTTGAAGGTCGGCGTCTGTAGGAGCGCTGGTTTTTAGATATCACCAAGTTCACGGTCGAGTTTGTAGTCAAGGTTGGAGGAATGTTTGTGTAGCGAGGAGCAGAGGGTGGAGAAAATTGTTCCCCACAGCTCTGCTGGAAGTTGTCGCTGAATTGAAAGCACAGAGCAGCGCATCTCCATATTGCTCTTCAGCGCACGCTCACCCTCTTCCACTAGCTCCAATTTCCGTCGCAGCACCACGATTTCGGCTTGATATCGTACTAATTCTTGTTGGTCATCCACCAAAGAGCCTTTCACCTGCGCGCGTTCACTCTCGGTAGGAACGTAGGACGAATGAAAGAAGCGAGCGTCGACATAAGGAAGGGAAGGAATGTTCGATGAATTGTTTCGCTCATAACATTCATGGCACAGAGCAAGGTGTAACGGCATTGTGGCTACTTGAAGTTTTGCGTAGCACTACCTGTACGGATCTTAATCTTGATACTGCTCAGAGCGGTAAAGCAAGTCATTCAGAGGGAAACATCCAAGAGCTAGTTATAGTAGACGCACCTGCTGATCTAAGAATCTAGATGTCTGCTATAAACGCTGGGATTGCTAATGAAGAAATCGGACCGTTTAGTTTCTGTAGATTGCAAAAGACGAAGGCGAAGCTTCTCCAATAGCAACTGAGGAATCTTGCCGATGGTGATGGTGAGAGAACAAGAAGCTCAGGGAAATTGTGCCCCACAACCGCCCACATTCCGGCCCGTGAAAGCGGGTGTTCTTTGCCGGCTCAACCAGGCTCCAGCCAAGAGATTCTACTTCAGGCCGCGGAGGCGACTGAAAACGAGCCCAAAAAATCACCGGAAAAGCCCAATTGGTAACATTCGATCTATGCGTGTACATACTGTCCAAAACTACGCTACATAAATAAGTTATGATCATCACAAACTTCACGGTTTGTCCAAGGTGATATTATGCATCGGCGTATCTCCCGCTCGGTAGGAACTCGTCAGAATGGTTCGAGGTTTTGACGTTTGAATACATCTGCGCCATCATATTTTCGTTGGTCTTGCCATCGCGCACTTGCAACAAAAGAGCTGGGTGTGCAACATTCCAGGTGAAGAACGCCAGGAAAACCATCGCAGCGTCGAAGACGTCTAGAATAGCGTATTATGATGAGCCTTATGAAAAGACAATGAAAACGAAGATCGCTCACTGAACAACCATTCGGTGCGCATGATTTCGCTGTCCCAGCCTCCACTGAGTTCGATAAGTCGGTAGATACCGCTGGGGACGCATTCAGGTGAGTCCCTCAGGCCATTCTATAACGAAGAAACTACTCACCGTACGAAGAGGAGAGCGGTAGTCGTCCCCATAGCGAGGAGCAGAATCTGACGGCGAGTGTCAAGCGGGAAGCGCGCCGAATTCGAGGTGACCGTCTTCTTTCGGTGCGGCCTGTCCCGAATGTACCTCAAAGTGAACTCGCCCACCAAGACCACGAATATGGTCATCATCACTACCGGACGGGTTGAGGAAGGGATTTATTGGCATTCGATACGTAAATGACTCACCCACTTGCAAGATGATACCTGCGATCATGAGGTTTGTTCCCTAGACGGTGGATACGGTTAGCAGTGGCAATCTTTCCAGAAAGTCTGCACCGGGGGCTTACAAGATCGAACATCTTGTCTCCACTTTTGGCCGTCGAAGCGAAACCTCCTCCAGCACCCTGCAGTGCCAACGAAACAATATCCTTTTGATGAAATCCCATCAACACTCCCGGATTTTATGGTCTACGGGTCAAATCTACTCACGCAGCCCAGGAAGATGTAGGAGTCTTCAGAAAAAATGCGTCAACCCTTAGTAAAGAGCTTCTAGCGTAACGGAATAGGGGATTACTTACAAAGATTCGGACGAAGGCGACTGTACTCAGTCCCCAGGAGAGTAACGAGACGCCCGAAAATAACAAAATTGGCAGCCAGAAGAGGTGTTGGGCCAATGATAAGGCAACATATCCTGAGAGTGACGGGTTGGAGAAACGTGAGAGTGAGTCGAGAAAACGAGGGTGATGACACAGACTGCATCATGAAAGCGTCCCCGTTACGGAGGCTCTGATTAGACCATAGCCTTCCTACCCATCCCAAGAGCTCTAAAAATGCAGCAAGAATGACGGTCGGTGCGAGGAACCAGTATCGACTATAGACCATTTGGAGGAGATGCATTCCTGATCGCTTGGAGATGAGAGAGGAAGGGACGGGAAGAGTGGAAACAAATGCTCACCGAGAGTCGTGGAGAACAAGGCAACATAGATAACGCAAACAACGAATGTCGGGCGGTACCCATAAGACGAGTGGGCATCGTCTAATGGTATGTGAGTCGTCGTGGAATTCATGATGAGGAAGGAGGGGGAGAATGGGATGAAACGACGAGGCCGGATGAGGAGACTTAAATACACGAAAGCCGCGGTGAGTCTCACAGATGGAAACTAGGCAGCTGCGATATCAAACAGTTTGAAGTAAGTTCAATCCTGATACACTGTGGCTTCGCAGTCGGTGCACAGCTTCAATAGAAACAGGTAACGACGATGAGCATTATCGCAATATTTTCCCGTGATACCGAGATAAAACTTCGGTTCGGTTAAACATCCTGAGCGTCACGTTCCTCCCGGGTGTCATGGTCCGATGTTGAAGCCTTCATAATCCAGCTGGAAACCACAGACGTCGACGGCAGACAGACTACTCGCTAGCGAAGCCTTTGGGAACTAGAAAAGTGATCGTGAGACTCCTGAGTTGGCAGCACAGCTTCAGCATGGTAAACCCAGCAACCGCGCAGCATAGCCAAGTTGGAAGTTGCATGCGTTCGACGAGAAATCTATACCTAACGAACGCGAGCAACGTATTCTTGCTATCCTTGCTGCGCATTCAAGAGGGTAACCATGGCACACTGTGATCGCAGTAAATTTCTTTGTCCCCCGCGAGCACAACCTTGAACGCGGAATTATAAAAGGCCCATAGAATAGAATACCCCCAAGTCTTGCAAGTTCTAGAGTCCGCTAGAAAGTCATCGGAAAAAGACAAAAACCACAGGACTTGGGAGACGATAGCGCGCTGGACGAGCCGCTTTCGCCCATCAAACGAGTGGAATTTGACTTATTGTATCGGAGTTGCAGGGTCTGTGGCAGGCCTGCCGCCTATCGTCGGCGTCAGTCCATCTGGCAGTTTTTTCCAAGGTTGAAACACTTACACTTGCCCGCTTCCCCGTAACAAACGTTTCTCGTGGACTACAGCTTCAGCATTCCCCACCCGATTGCGAGCGTTAAAGGAAGAAGGAGAACCCTTCTAAGACCAAGTTTCTTCGCCCGTCTTTGTCACCTGCTTGAGGTGTTCAGAACGAATATCGCACGGCCGACTTGGGCGAGGTTAACCCGTTAATAGAATGAGCCGAGATGAGCTGAGCTGACGATTGACCGATATTACAGCTCACTGGAAGTCTGACACTACCGTCAAGCTTTCAGCTTGTACATGGCTGAATCCGACTGGCGATCCTACATATGGGCACCGGTGGACTGGAAGAGGAGACCAACCGAAACTCCGATGAATGATGTCATCGAAACAAAAATTTGACTTCTAGCCCACCGCGAGGGTCGAACTCGCAGCCTTCAGATGCCTTTACAGACCGTAAAAGTCTGACGCTCTATCCGATTGAGCTAGGCGGGCATGTCATTGATGAAGGAATGTCAGTATATAGCGGTCCAGATTGTTCGGTATTTGACGGCGGCCTACCCTAAATCAAGCCTATCCCTTCCGTTGATCCGACACCCCGAATTCTTCTTTCGCCAAGTCCGTGACCAGGCTGTTCAGATCAGGTTCTATCTTATCTTTCCCACTCGGTCGTCTTGTCTTCCAGTTCTTCTCAAGTCAGGATGATCCCAATTGAACCGTCTCAAAAGAACAATGTGCTCCGAGATAAGTAACAACGCACCCGTTCAAGAAGCACTGTCCGATGTGGTCCCTACCAAGGCTTCCACTAAAGTCGAGCGCCCCCAACGCGTTGTAGAGAATCATGGGCCTCCAAATGGTTCTTGGTATCGAACCTTACTGGTGAGTTTGTATTCACTTATTTCGACCGCGACATGACCTCCAGGCCTGTATCTTTCCGTTATAGGTATCGACAACTTCTCTACATGTGATCATGGCATAGGCCCAAGACTCTCGACCGAATGGTACTCAGTATCCTAACGACCATTGGGCAGAGGTAAAATCGATTACTTTTTTTACTCATGTACCTCTATGACGAGGATGGTTGAACCGTGCGATAAACGATTACTGGTGGCTATCCTGTGGTTCAAGAAACCAGGGTGAAAGACAACGAACTTGTCTAGTATCTGAAGCTCATTGGTCAAAGTTAGATCTCAAGGTGTGCCTTCACTCTAGCATGTGTCCTCCCCAGAATTCAGTTGTCTGAGGTCTCGAGAACAGACCCGGAAAAACCCTTCCACTGACCTTGCGTTATCAATGACCGGTGTTCGCAATACTGGGGTATGCCGATCTCATCCTCTCTGGAGCCGAAATTGGTTGATGTGGCAAATGTATAGTAGCCTCTACAAGGTCTTGGTACCATGTTTGCCGCCGAGTTAACAACCGGGGCATGTGAGCGAACGCCACTTCGAACTTCGCCAGTAGCCACGCTCGGTGAGTCCCGAGCTTCCTTCACTCATCGGCTATCGCGACCTTCCTGTTGTCTTCTCCCAAGATCCAAGAACGATTTGTCGAATTTGCTAGGTTCGAGTATCATCTCGATACATAACATCCCTTTGACTTGCAAGCCAAGTTTTGCCAAGGAACTTCGACCCTACTGCCGCAACGTGCAAGACCAAGAACTTCTCGATCCTGCAAAGGTAGCAAGTGACCACAGGGTGGCGTATGCTGCTGTCTTTTAGAGATAAACTATGAACAGCTTACATTCCCTCCTCCGCACCTCATCCATATGTTACCACTCTATCATCTTACTTGGCTGACGGTGAAGGGCCTGTGGAACATGTGGAGAGCATTGTCACAAAGGTATAAATGCTCTGTCTGTGTAGGAAATGAGCAAGCCAGAAGTGCCTCCCTAGTACCACGCTCAGTCTCCACCTCCAGCCTTATTGCCATGTTCGCCGCTTCTTTTATCTCCCTCGTTCTTGCTAGCGCTGCGCTCGCCGGTCCTATGAAGAGGGACGGAGGTCTCACCGTCAACATCGCTGGACCGTCCGATGCTGGCTCAGCTGATGATCTTCAATTCTCAGCAACAATCGAGAACACCGGTAGCGAAACCGTGAAGATTCTCAAGTACGGTACCATCCTCGATGACCTCCCCACACGCTCCTTCAAGGTCACAAAGGACGGCGAGGAGGTTTCCTTCACTGGTATCAAGGCATGTGTTTAGGGGTTTGCCCGATCATATCAAGGCTAATGGTTCTCACGACTTAGGCCGCCATCGACCTCGAGGCTGCAGGAGAGAGTGCATACGCCGTCATCCCTGCTGGCGAGTCCATCACCGTCAACCACAACAGTACGTCTGGATTCACAATTATGTTGTGAATATTCAATACTGAGCCGCGAGAACAGTCGGCAATCTCTTTGACTTTGCCACCGCCGGCGCCGGCAACTTCAAGTTTGAACCTCTTACCGGATTCCAGGTCTTAGGATCTGAGGAGGCATCCTTCGCTCCCCTCGAGGAACTCGAAGTCAGCTCAAACGCTGTAGAGGTATCCGTTTCTCAGCTCGAGAAGCAGGAGGTCCCCGTTGAGAAGCGTGCAACCAACATCTGCCCCAACGCTTCCCAAAAGAGCTTCATTGATGCCGCGTAGGTGATATCACCAGAATCCTTTGAGACGAACTCTGATCGCTACCATACAGATACACTGAGAGCAAGCAGATGGCCACCGCCGCTGCCAACTACATCTCCAGCAATGGCGCCAACTCTCTCTACACATCTTACTTCAAGACCAACCCCACCACTACAATCAGGAACGTCTTTACCTCAGTCGCAAACGAGAACACCTCCAGCAGGACGTGAGTTGATATCGCTTCGAACCTGACTGAAATGTACGCTGACGTTGTTTTACACCTAAAGGATGGATTGCAGGGACACCTACAGTGCTTGCAGATCGGGTGTCATTGCATACGCCGTTGTTGCGACTACGAACGTAAATACTCGTTCAATCCCTTGAACGGACGGGAATACTAACACTCGTGCTTCAGATCTACTTTTGCCCTATCTTCTTCAACCAAGTCCCTCAAACCAGGCTTTGCGGCGGTGGTACAAGCGTTGCCGCACGCAACCTTCGTGGCGGAACCATGCTCCACGAGGTAAGCAGCATCCGCAAATAACGTATTTTAGTAGCGGCCTGATCTGACTGCTTTCGCAACTGTAGATGACCCACGCTGTTGCCGGCACTGATGATGTCGTGTACGGATGCGCCGCCGACCGAGGCCTGAGCGCTGCCCAGCAACGCATCAACGCTGATAACTACAACGTTAGTTCATATCTCTCTAACCAGTGTATACGGGACTCAAACTCACTTCTCTTATTCAATTTTGAAGTGCTTTGGAGCTGAGGTCTGGCTCGCCACTCGGTGCTAAATGAACATTCCAAGGGGGTGTATACATCGACCACCTAAGGCTTGATAATTGAATTTTCCTTGTATAAGATGTCTATACCCTTTTTGTATAATCTGAAGTAGCTTTTCTGGAATCACCGTAACGCGGCCCATTAATACCTTTGCGGGTTCTCGGTCTAGAACACTGATCCTTTCGTTCGTGTTGGACGCCAAAACCAGGAGACTGGCATCTACTCACTGGCAGGTAGCTGATTAATGAGCGCTAGTGGGTGCGTTGGTGAGCGTCGAGCTCTGCTATCCGGATTGACGCCGTGGTCTCAGACAACGTTCGCGACCGATTGGATAAGAAATCTTGCGTCCGCAGCCACTCCTCGAATACCCGATAGCCTCATTCACGGTTTGTGGCTTTTCATCGAAATTGAACCTCAACCTCAACTTCGATCGATTTCACCTTCTGATCTTTGAACTAGAATTATCAGATGTACAGTACATGAGAGAATGTGTGCCATAGTGTGTAATCCGAGCGGCTCGAGATGTGGGGATTGATGGAAGGGTCCACGAGACTTTTAGATGTGAGGGAAGGCGATGAGCAAAATCCAGGAAAAATTACAGTGCGACCCAACATGAAATGAGAGGCAGACAAGGGAGATACAAGATTGGGGAAAGGAGATACAGGGGCGGCGCGAATGCGACGACTATGCCATGGTGCGACAAGATGACCCAGACCGAGGAACGTGAGGAACAGAAAAAATAATACATGAAAACCGACAATTGCCCACAGTCATGCAAGGGAGGAACAGATCATGATCTCCTGGACCATCTTTCCCGAAACTCGTGGCGCTTGAAGTGGGTATGTTATGATCAGAGATGTACACGAACGTGCTGACCAAGGTTGTCGCGTCTGCTGAACGACTTGCCACAACCGGGATGAGGACATTTGTGCGCTGCGGAGGTGAAACAGGCTAATGAGCAAATGGAACGCAGCTTGCGAACGAGAGAAACTTACGTTTCTCCCAGGTATGCAGGCTCCGTACATGTCGTTTGAGGTGTTCGCCCCTCACGAAACATTTCCCACATCCATCAGCAGTACAAACGTATCTCCTCTCCCCTGTCAGTTTCTTGATACCACCGCTGACGATTTTGTAGGCCTCAGTGACTCCGACACCGGGAGGCAATGCGTCCAGGCTTTGAGGTTGACTGGGAATGTCGTAGATGGTATCGTGTTGATGCGTCCGCGTTGGTCGACCCCTTGGAGCGGCAATGTCTAGCGAAAGGTCCACCGGGCCGCTAGGGAGATCATAGTGATCGTATGCTGTTGAACCGTCGCCTATGCTTGCGTCGTCGCCTCCGGATACAGGAACCTTTCTTCCCCGGCTCTTCTTAGATAAGTGGGGAACGGGAACCGGGTGTGGACGGCGTTGAGATTGCAGCGACGTCTCCTGAGCCCCACTCGGGTATCCTGAATAGCCTGAATCGCCCCAACCGTTCCCTGTCACCCCCTCGTTGGTCGAGCTATGTTCCAATGCCCTTAGGGCTTCTGCATTCCCACCCCTCGACCCATGAGCACCGTGTCTCCCACTCCTGCCGCGGCGTCTATGAGTGCCACCTTCTTCGTCGGATGGAACGTAATCATCGCTGTCGCCATCCTCTTCGTGGTCTGCATACTCCTCGTCCGAATCAGATAGATGTCGTGGAGGAGACACGATTGCCTCGGTAGCAGTGACGGGTGCCTGATCTGCCTTGCGAGGCCTTCCCCTCTTCCTCCTCTCAGATAGAGGCGCATCAATAGGAGAGACCTGACGAGCCCGTTTTCTATCGCCGTATATGTCTCCAAAGCTGGAGCTTCCTCTGTTCCGCTTCCCCAAACCTCCGGTGACCTCAGCGTCGAAGTTTCTCAATGGCGAGTGATACCCAAACTGACCCCCGAGACCAGCCTCGAAAGATGGAGACGAAGGATGGGGAGGAGGAGTAAACCTAGGGAACTGGTGCGACTGAACTGAATCAGGGAAGGATAGGGGGTAGGTGTCCTGACTTGGATGAGTGGGTGAGTAGACATCGGACATGTTGACGGTGACGCCAGAGGTATCGTGGCGGTGGCGGAGTTGCAGTGGAGAAAGCAAGCCGTCGTCTTGAGGGGGCAAGTACGGTGCTGCATGAGGAGAAGGTGTTGATGACAACGCTAAGGATGCAGAATAGATCGAAAGTGGGGAGTCGGGATGAACAGAGATCTGAGATGCCGATGACTCGTGAGGCGTATGGCTAACATCCGAGTAGGCCTGAGCTGTGAAAGCAGGAGAGGTAGGAACGTGACCGTCCAGCGAGTGTGGGTAAACTGGATGCGTACCGGAGCCATTCCCATCCGAATTTACGGTGGCGATACTGGACGGATCCGTGTCAGATGAACTGCATGAGCTCCTTACACTACGAGCATCGCTCGAAAGGAACGTGTGAGAATTAGTTGACGTCGGACTAGGAGTGGTCTCTGTGGTGGACACAGAGTCGATAGAGCTGGAATAGTAATGACTCCCGTCGACGTGGTGTCTCTTCAGAGGTGGTGACGCCCAATCATGTTGAGGGTGTACGTACTCCCCTGAGCCTTCGATGAGAATACCACGACCGCTCGAGCTGAGAGGGTGATAGCGAGATTCTTCATCGCGTTGGTGATGCCCGCCGAGGTGGAAACGATGATCTTCATCACCGCAAGGTAGATCATCAGGGAAATTGAGGAACTTGGACATGCCAGCCGACCATGAACGACTCATAGACGAGAGCGAAATCGTGGGCACAGGGAGATTGTCCGATAGATCCAAATCCATGGTCGATAAGAGCATTGAAAACGTCGTCTATAGCGTTGAAGACGTGGCCAACGATGACAAGAAAGTCGTCGACGCGAGGCAAGACGATGTGCAACGAGGAGGAGAGCAAGTATGGATGCAAAGACGAAGGAGTAACTAGATGACTGTATGGGTGCTGATGGGAGAAATTAATGTGATTTTCCAATGCCCCTCTCATCCTTATGAGAATTCCTCTCCGGCTTCAGCGAGTGGCTGTGAGTCTGACTCTAAGACAAACTTAGCAAGACATATCGAGACATTAAATGATTTTTATATTTTTTTTGTCGGAGCCGTCGGGTAGGTACTCACCTCTTCCTTTATTTTCGAACGATCGTGTGGCTGATTGTGGCATTCGTCTATCAGGTAAGGTGGCAAGGGAAGGTTCTAAGCAATCGATGCTTCTCAATAATTATAAAACGTAGACGAAAAATGCGGGCGTTGAGCCGTGGGAAGGTGGGAGAATGACCTCATTGTTTACATCTATTTCTTCGATAAGCCCGATTTGGGTATGTTCGAGGCTAGAATTATGTTCCAGGTTTTCAGAATCACTTCGATCTGGCCCTCGACATTTTATAACATAAGCTTCAGACGTCTGACTCTGAGATGTATCTTGGGCTGGGGCTCCTTGTACTCAGTCGAGCTTGTACTCAGGTATGTACCACCTGCAGTCCGAACTTGTGGACGAGCCCAGTATTCGATTTTGTGAAGGACCGGAATGTCCCCTCTTGCATTCCAATTGAGAGATCACATCTGGTTTTTCCGACGGGTAGCTAAAACTCGCCTAGATAGCCCAGTAGTACATGAGTCAACCGGACGCCGGAGTCCTTCTTCAATCACCGAAGCCAGAGACGGATGCCTAAGGACTAAGTATCTTGTTCAAGTCTTCTCCTTAGAGTGTAGCACTTTGGATCCAGCTTGACAACACCGATGGACGGCGGGCCGATCGACTTGTAGATACTTTGCTTTCTCCGCTTGCTCCGCGACCCATGGCTGTGATCGGGTAAACCTTCCGAGAGTTCAGAGATAAACTTGCACCCACACAAAGTGTCAACTGTCTACCGAAATGGACGGGTAAATTTAGAAGTGGAAGTTATTCGTGAAATGTGAGTGTGAATCCGAACAACTCTTTTGGACCCGCATGCCGGGATTTAGGAACTTCGAGGCACCATGGAAGCCCGTGTATACCCCTCAAGATACCCGTAACCAAAGCAATCTCTGCTAAAAAACTTGCCCAGCTCAACAAACAAGGTTCGTACTTGGTGAAACAGGGTATACGAAAGTCCTCCCGTTGCTTCTTCCGACTCGGGGTACCTTATTCGTGTGGAGATTACCGACAGTCTTAGAGCGCTGCCGCGGCATCATTCAGCTGATACCAGTGGTATACAACCCGTTCTTTTTCGAGATCTCGCTAGCCTAGGGGCAGACTCGAAAAACATGATGCATCAGCGGGGAGTCGAACCCCGTTCGCGACCTGACTGCCATTGGATATCCGGTGGGAAGGTCGCATCATAACCGTTAGACCACTGATGCTCATATTGTGTAAGATGATCATGTTCTTGTGACAAATGTAGCCCCATAATCAAACTTAGTTCAAAGGCCATCGTGACGGTGCCGTTGAACCCGAGCTTTCGCCTAAGGAGTTTTCACTCTTCACAAGCAAGTCTTATCGCTACTTCGAGTCCGATGAATTTTCAATGCTCTACCACGATAATCGGACTTCCAAGCGCGATATTAAGGGGTCGTTCATAAGGTCGATCGGCCTTCCTTTCCCAAGAGCTTCGCGGAACCGTTTACGGAGGTACGAGGAGGCACAAGCGATCGTGTCGCCATATCACATCAACATCGATCAACCCGTTGAAGCCGTGAGCACTGCGGAGACTTTCCAATTGCCAATTCGAGGCGTTGAAGAGGACTTGAATGACCGTGACCGCTGGGTAATGTATGATAAGTGTTGCGTGGCTGATGATCTTCGCAACTTCTAGATAGTCTCAGCTTTATACGGCGACGTCTATGGACTACATGATGAATCTCCGAAACCGGGAGCCCTCGGTGAGCTGTGCGACCTCCTTGACGCGAAAGTACGTTGCAGATGTGGATTCAGTCGGTTAAACGGTTGTGGCGTGGGTTAAACAGGCTGAGCTTTGAGACCACCAAGCGTGGGTATGTTGTCTAAAAGTCGCCCAAGCGATCTCTGGTGTCAAAAGCGTCTCATGCGGTGTCTGCACGTAGTTAGAAGGACGCAGGTTATGATCTAGATATCACTACGTACGTTCCAACTCGGATTCGTGTACTACAACTGACGAGTGATTGTCAGTGAGGATTGTGGCAATGATTCCAACACATTGGAATGATAAAATTCATGGCCCAGTTGAATTGTGGGTAGGATGTGAACCGCTGGTAGATTCAGGAGTTTAGAGAGGGGCTCGTTCGTTATTTGTAGTCAATATTTAGATTGCTGGAAAGTACATATTTCATTGCTATCTTCGGGTTTTAATCTATCAACTTACCTCTTTGAGTAACGTCGGGATAGATCCTGATACACCGGAGCAAGACTGGTGGCTTCGGTAAAATAGACCAGAGACTCTGACAGCGGGAATGAGTTGCTAACGGTAGAGAGATTGATAACCGGCGCTTCAATTTAAGTTCTATACGTAGCTGTGTTTGATGTAAAGCTTTATGACGACGATGAGCCTTCCCCTTGGTCCTAGCAGGGGTATTCCTGACTCCGAGTTGCATCAACTGGATTGAGCAGCGATTCGATCGCACCTTTTGTTTCACCAAGGTCCAAGCTAGAAGGCCTTGAGTCGAGACCAAGCGAACATCTGGCTTTATGGGAGATAAAGGAATGTCTATTAAGAAGCCTGGCTAGGGGCGAATATTTGAATACGCAGGAATACTGGGAGTGTCACGAAACACGTCGAGAATTGAGGGATAGGTTCATCAACTGCTGTGTCACAGACGGTATAAGATCTATCCATTGAGGCCGACTGATTTTTACTTGTCCTCGAAAAGCTCCTTGAGTAACCCACGAGTAGAATTGGGCCACCAACATGCGGCAAGACTTTTCAATGGGCGGCGGTCAGACTCGATGGAAACGTTCGGACACCTTTCGGCATATGCATGAGCGGGCGTGAGGTGCAGGGTGCCAGTATCGAGTCTCGGATATGAATGCCATCGAAGTCCGATCAGCGCATGGGTAGTTCCAATTTCTGGTACTCAATAACGTAGGGCCAATGATGTGCTGTAATGCTAGACACCTGAGTGCTGTGATATTCCTGATGGTGATCCCGTCAAAGAACGGGATGATATGAACTTTTTGCCAAAAGCCCTGTCATTAGCCGGGCCACTCGTCGCCTGAAGGTAGATGAACTATCAGGAAGTTGAGAGGCTGTATGAGTTGATCACTTTACCGTCAAGAAGACTTTCGTTCCCTGGGCCTCATCCCGGAGTCAACGCGCTGAGACGCGTTGAGGTCAAGGCCCGGCGGAAAATACACGGAGATCACATGAGCCACAGACGCCCAAGCGTGTGAATGTATTTCTAGTTTCAGCAACGCAATGAAGGACGATATTCACATGCACGTTGTCGCTGTGAAATTCTCTCTCCGACCCCCATGACCCCCAACGACGATGTCCAGCGGTCAACACATTCAGCAAGCAGCAGTATTAGTTTGAGCTCAACTCTCCTCGATGATCAGGATGAAGACGTCCAGATTGCGATTCGTGCTCTGGGAGACATGCGGAATGGAGTTGTATCGAAATCCTGTGCGTTCATCAGTTATGGTCTAGCTGAGTTCACTTCTGAACTGTGTTTCTTTCTGCCTTTTTTGCGGCCCTTTCTCGTTATTTTTCAGCTGTGAGCTCGTCCAGCTCGCCCTCAGAGGCATCGACATCGACTGCAACAACACCCTACTCGCTATCGACCTCAAGTTTACCGTTGAATTCGAATTCAGAGCGTTCACCGCCGACGGAAATATCCTCAGGACCAGATTTTGCCTCAAGAGTTGCCCATATACCTCTCGTTCACGGTGCTTTGAGAATGTATGAGCAGGGGAAAGCGAGTTCGAGAGTGGTCAAGGTATGCAGGGTCGACCAGTTGCATGTGATTTTGATACTGACTATACCCACAATTTCGCCTTTTTCAAGTACGGCGCCGAGATGATGGAATCCGGCGTGAAGACGATTTCAAGACCTGTCATAGACAGATTGCCTTCAAATACTGTGGATGGTATACTCGATAGAGTGAGTGTTATACGATCGTTACCCCTCTTGACATTGTGTTGTCACCTCGTCACGTCCAATACCACAGGAGTATGCCACTCCTTGATTCGTGACTTTTTTCTTCTTACCACCTTTCTCCGTTTTGCCTCGTTCCCGACCTTCAATCTGATGCGACACTGCATCCTGTGATTATCTCCGTTTTTCAATTTTCTCCGCCAAATCTCCCTACGTTTGCCGCTTTGGCTGGCCCACGCATTGCTATACTCCAAGTTCTTTCCTTGGCACGTTATTCTCGTACGATAGGATTCGGGACTCAACCTGCCCCGCCGTATCCTATCACGGAAGCTGAGCAGCACAGCAATGATCCAAGCTCTTGATTGATCTGTTGGAATCTTCGTGTTTGCTGTAGCTCCCGTTGATCTAGGGAAGATGATGTAACCCTACCTGGATTTCATGCCACAGCGGCTTCACCTTCTTCGCTGTGGTGATTTTGTGCTCTTTTCTTTCCCTTCACGATCCCCATATCAAGTTGTCCATGCCGTGACAGGCGTCTCGGGGGACTCAGAGCTCTATCCAAATGTGATCTGACTTTGTGGCGAGGCTATTCGAGGAGAAGATTCCCCGTGATCCTCGCCACTGACCATCAGGGGAAGCACTTTGTATTGGTTCCGGTACCATCAGTTTCTATTCTCCCAGAGGTGATGAGAGAATGATCAAGATTGTGCATTGCCAAATATCCATAGAAGGGGGCTCTGGCACTATATCTTGACACATATCGGGGTTCTGGTCCCCCGTGTTGACCACCTCTCTTTAGCTTGTTCTTTGAGATCGTGTATCTTCTTTTCTTTCGTTTTCCACTTTCGGACTTTGTACGCCGTTTACGATTTCTCTTCTCATTCTTGACGTCTTCTCCCCTTCTCACAACCTACCGCAATCGCTTTTACTGATTGTCTTCTTTTACTGATTGTCTTTTTCTCCTCTTCCATCTACAATGTGCCCTGTACGACCCTCACTCCCGCCAATTTCCTCCATACTTGCCCACATACCTCAATGGCAGTTGGGTAGCCGATCCCTTCGCTCCCCCTTATCGCCTCGTGCAGAAACGCAACGCCGGCAGCTGGAAGTTGCAGCCCGTTTCTCCAGCAGAGACGAGCTCACTGACGAAATGCCTCGTCTCCCTTACGACAACACGGGCGCGGTGGGAACTTGGCTGTCCAGTAAGTTGTACTATTCAATACTCTTATTTTACCCACCGTCCGAGAACGTCTTGACCACCAACCACATGCTACCAAAGACGACTTGGTTGGGGTTTGGTTGGGGTTAACTCAATGTCAACTTTTGGGGATCTCCATTTATGGATCACGATCCTTCCACGCTGTTTTCACATGCTCGAAGCATGCTAATGACCTTCCAGGTACCTCCCCCCACGCTCAATACCGACAAGACCTTACGAGAAGAAGGGCAGGTTCCGACTCTCAGTCAGAATTGTCGCCAATCGACAAACCTTCTTTGTCGCGGTCGATCACGCCCACCATGGCCCCCAATAGTTCCTACGACACCTTTCACCGCGGTTACACGGACGAATCCAGAGTCGGTGCTGGTACCTCATCTGCGATCGCTTATTCCTCTTCCTCATCTCCTGTACAGCGGCGGTCCTCTTCTGCGCACAGGGAAGACGATGGTTCTCGGTCGTCGGATGACACGGGTGCCTCTCGGTCGCAAACTCAGCTGGCCACCAGACCAAGGTGGCAAGCCTTCCTGGCTCAGGCTGGCGGACTGGGAGTAGCTTTCAGCGCCGAAAGTATGAAAAGACTGAGGTACTGCCTCAGTTGGTTGTTGGCAAGTCGATTTTGTTGTGTACACCTCCTATCACCCAAGGCTGACTGGTTCTACGCTTGATCAGTGGGCCATAGATCGCATCGATTCCCACATCACTTTCTTGAGGGACTTCACTCTCTCTTTGCAAAGCCATAATCTTGGTCCTCTTCAAGAGGAGAACGAAGGCCTTAGCCCCACCACCCCGACACAGGCTTCCACGAATCATCGGCCGTCGCGGCGTCACCACCACACACGGACGCCCTCCTCCTCGTCCGTCTCGGAGGCCCATCACAATAAACTGCACGAAGTTCGGAAGGACCTCGTGCACACCGTCCGTCAGGTTGTCAGTGTCGTCAGTAAATATGCTGGTGAATCCTCTTTACCCGATAAGGCGAGGGACCATGTCAAGGGCCTCATCCTTATGCTACCGCGCAAATGGGCAGAGGCTGTCCGCGTCGGTGGGGGTCCCGCGACGGCGAGTGGAAGTATGCC